AGGGTCTTGAGAACTATTTGCCCAGGCTGGCTTCGAACCTTGATCCTCCTGATCTCTGGCTCTTAAGTAGTTTGGATTACAGACATGAGCCACCAGCGCCTGGCTCCCCAAACACTTAAGCGAGAGGTGAGAGAATATGACTTAAGTTGTAGCAGCTATGCAATACAGACTTAATGAACTCAAACAGAAGGTCTTTATAGCTCTAACAGTTGGGTGCTTCCCAAAGACACTGATACGCCTCTGAGAGGCAGAAAGTGTGGTGGTCTAATGAGTGGCTTTGAGGGGGAGGGGTTGTCTGTGCTGACTCCTGTCTCTGCTGTGTGACTGGGGCAAGGGGCCACACACCTTTCTGAGCCTGTTTTCTCATCTGCATGGTGAAGGTGATACCTGTCCCTACCTCATAGGGTAGTTGTGAGGATTAAATGATGTCACAAGTGCTTCTGCTTGTTATGTACAATGAAGAAGGGAGAGGACATGACAGGCAAGTGATGAGTCACTTTTTGGTCCCTTCCACCCCTTCCTACCAGGAGAGAGTCCTGGGGTAGCACAGATGGATACTTACTACCAAGAAGAGCAGCCGCGGCAGATCTGGAGGGCTGTTCACATTATTTATATTTACAGCTACTGTCATTTATGTCACATGATATTGACTTTGCATTTAACCTGACATCTCGAGTCTCCTAATTTTTTCTTATGTAAGTAAGACAAAAGCAAACATTTAGAAAGAGCAAGATCACTGTAAGAACAATCATCCCTGAAGGGAATGGCGCACCCTCCTCTCCCAAATGGCCCAATCAAGAAGGTGGCCTTCGGTGCGGCTTTAGTTTGAACTGTGTTTCTGCCTGGCACCAGTGGCTCACGCCTGTAATCCTAGCTACTCAGGAAGCAGAGGTCAGGAGGCTCTCCATTCCTTTGAAGTCAGCTCCAGGGTAAATAGTTCATGAGACCCTATCTCAAAAATACCCAGTACAAAACAGGGCTGGTGAAGTGGCTCAAGTGGTAGAGCTCCTGCCTAGCAAGCGTGAGGCCCTGTGCTGAAACTCCAGTAACACCAAAAAAAGAAGAAAAAGAAACCCATTATGATCTGATCTTCGGAACCAGGGACCCACTCTGTGTCCTGTACTTGGCTGAGTCTCCCAGGGCACTAGCAGCTGAGTGGGGCTTGTCCCAGTGGCTCCAGGACAGGTTAACAGTGAAGATTCGAGCAAGGGCTGGAGGACTCCCCAAGCTAGGGTCACTGGGGTTCTCATCCCCTATCCACTGGCAAGTGCTGGGGCTCCATCTTCAAATTGCACCTGGATTTTAGCTACTTTTTTCCAGCCTGGTCCAAATGGTCAACCATCACCTGGGGCTCTGGTGGCTGCCATCACGTCCTCCTTCACTCCTCCACTCACTATTCCTACTCTGATCAGCAGTTAGAGCCACACACGCCCTTCCTCTGCTCAAAGCCTCCCCTGGCTCCCAGTTTGCTTGGAGGAAAAGCCTCAGTCACAACCATCCCAAGCTGGCAGTGCCTAGCTCTCCAGCTGCATCATCTACTCACCCCAGCTTCCCAGGGCCCCATGGCCTCCTTGTTTGTTTCTTCACACTCCAGGTAGGCTCCTGTCTCAGGGCTCTTGCACTTGCTGTTCCCTTTGCTATCCTCTGACTTCTAATGGCTTCTTTCCTCTTTCCTCAGTCTGTCCCCTCCTCAGAGAGGCTGACCCCCTCACCTAAACCAGCACTTCCTGTGTCACCCCCTCCCTCACTTTCCTTCACAATGCATATTGCCCTTTGCCTTTCATACATATTTGGGGTTCATGTCATTAACTATTTCTCCAAGGGACTTCAAGAGAATAGGGCTTTGCACCTGCTCTGAGTTCTGATAAACTCGTGCCTGGAACAGCGCTGACTTGTGGAATAACCATCCAGGGAGGTGTGAAGGACAGCCACTTCCAGCCCTGCCTACTCCCTCTGGGCCCCTCAAACCCCTCTCTGTCATGACTTCCTTTCTGCCCACCGGGCCCTCCAGGCCTCAAGGGCTGCTGGGGGTGAGGGGAGGTTCCAGCTGCGGCTCAGACTCCTCCCTCCTCTTCTTGTTCTCCCTTCCGCCTCCCTGTAAGTCAGCAGCAAGTCCACTCTTGGGGTGTCATCAGGCCTGAGGGCCTCAGGGATAGGCCAATGCCAGCCAGGGACCTACTTCCAGCCTGTGACCTCATTTGGAAAGAGGCAAGGCAGTCCCGGAGACTTCCCATACTTGTCCTTACCTTACATACCAGGAAACTGAGGCTGGAAGACCTTCCCCATTCCCTCCTCTGTGGAGTGAGGATAAAATCTCCTCCCTTCCAAGGTCATCCTGAAAACAGCTTTGACCACTGAGCAGTGTTTGCCACATACGAGGTGCTCAAAAAATGTCGGTTATTGTTGTTCTGAGCCACGAATGGCTGACCAAGGTCTGGAAGCTAGCAGATGTCACAAACAATTCACAACAGGTCTGTCTATCTAAAGTGATTGTGTCACAACCACAAAATAAGCACAGGGTAGCACTAACAGGAGCAAAAGCGACACCACCCACACCCAGTGTTTCCCAGGCAAGGGGTGGCCCTGAGGATCATCGGGTGGTAGCCCCTGCCTGGCACCCAGGGCTAACCGGCACGGACCTGCGCTGACTGTGCAAGGACAGGGACAGGGAGGGGCCCGCGGAGCCTCCGCCCGGGGCGCCCCCCATCCGGCCGCGGGGGGCCCCGCGGGAGGCAGCGCGCCCGGCCTCTGGAAGACATTACACGGCTGTCGGCCGGGGCGTCGCCCGGAGTTCCGGAGGGGGTCCCGCGGCGGCCGCCACAAAGCGCGCTTTGTTCTGCGCTCCCCCGGAGCTGGAACCAATGGATTGGCGGCAGCTGAGGTCATCCGTCAGGCAGAGCCGGGGGTCAGGCCCGCTGAGGGGCCGCCAGGGAGGCCCGCGGGGTTCGCGTGTGGGGCCCAGCAAGCTGCGGCTCCGCGGCAGGTCGTTGCTTTGCTTCGGGACTCAGTTTACCCATCTGTCCAACTGGGAAGATCAGTTCTGCCCTGTCCACCTCTCTGGGCCACTGTGAAACTCAAATACAGAAGCCACGTGGCTGCCGCTGGTAGTGCTGCTGGTGATGGGGACATTGGGGACCCCCAGCCTTTCCACAGGAAGCAGGCCTTACTTGGCCTCTGTGGAAGGCAGGACCAGGGTGAGAAAGTGGAAGCAAGTGTGATTTGTAACACAGTGTCGTGTGTATGGAAAGCGGATAGACGGCTCCTAGTCCCCTTCCAGCCCAGGACAGGAGACCTCTCCTAGGTTCCCTGTTTTGACCCCGGTTACCGGGTCTAGCCACCTTCTCCAGCACTGGCAGGTGCCCCTATAGCATATGAGTCCAGGGACAGTTGAGCCCTTCCTTGGTGCCTCTGGCCCAGAGCAGGGCTGCTCAGAAGAGGTGGCTGGAGACAGGTCGGGTCTGAATACTCTCCTCACATCCTACAACACTAGAGGTCAATCATTCATCCTTCACACCCCAACTGCAAACCTCTAATAAGACTTGTCATCATGGGATGCAGAAATTGCCTAAAATAGATGTCCCTCCCCCTCCAGGGGCTTGTTGCTTACTTTAAAAATTTGGGGGGCAGCAGGGTCTTGCTATGTAGCCCAGGCTGGCTTCAAATTCTTGATCCTCCTATCTCTGCCTCCTGAGTTCTGGGATTACAGGTGTGAACCACTGCACCTGGTTTAATAGCCTAATGTTTAATCTTAATTTGGGTAAATGTGCTCATGTATAACCATGAAATTAAATTTTAAAAACCTACCATGGTGAAGTGGGTTGGTTTCACAACAGTAAGGGATCTCAAGAGCGCCTACACACTGCCTTTCACTAGATCCATGTTCTAGGGCAGGGGAGGAGACACATGGGATCACGGGAGCCCCGAAGAGGCATGTGGTCCAGCTTGGAGGGGTCTAGAGGTTTCTTGGAGGTGGCTCCTGTGGAGAAGCCTGGCACCTGAGCATAGATGGGGAAGTGGGCCAGGATAGGCCAGGATGTGTGCAAACTGCAGAGAAAAGCAGACAGGATAAACAGAACCTGAACTCTTGACCTCCCAGCCAGGACTCATCCCAGGCTTTGGCTTCCTTGGGCAGCAGTTCTGCATCCCTCAGCCAGGCCCTTCCACTCAGCCCCTTCCCACATGCTCTGGGGGCAAGAAAGCAGCGCCACCTGCTGGCGTGAGAGGGAAACACAGCTGTGAGCCCCTATTGGCAATCAAGGGCAGGTCAGGCCCTTAAAGCCCACCCAGCTCCTCTTAAAACAATCCACGCTCCCCACTCTAAGCTTCTCTTGCATCTCCTTCCCGGTGCCTGTCTTGTGGGGTCTTCTCTGCAAGAAGGAAAGCCCTTCCAAAAGGAGGTGACCACCCTCACTTATCTAGGTCAGTGGGTGCCAAGGGCTCCTCACTTCATGTCAGGTCATGAGCATGACCAGCTTTCCAGATGCTGGCCACAATCTCGGGTAGTCGATCCACTTGACGGGAAAGTCTGGCCAATGCTCTGGTTCCAGAATGCAGATGTCCTGGGCACAGCCCAGGGGTCTTGCCTCTCCACAGGGGCGGCAGTGTGTGGACGGGCCACTACATTTGAAAATAATTGATGCAGTCTAATTATTTTTTTGGGCTGGGTGTGGTGGTGTACTTATGATCCCAGCTACAAGGCAGGCAGAGGGCCTGGGCTGGCCCTGGGCAAAAAGTACCAGACCCTACCTGAAAAATAAGCTGAAGCAAACAGGGCTGGGGGCATGGCTCCAGTGGTAGAGGTCAGTCTAGCAAGTGTGAGACTCTAGGTTGAAACCCCAGCCCCTGGGAACTTATTAGAAATGTGCATTTCCAGGCCCCTAGCCCTGCTGAATCAGACAATGGGGGTGGAGTCCAGCAAAGCAGCCAGAGAACCTGGACCACTGATCTAAAGCCACTGTGCTTCCCCTTTTTTAAATTAAATCAATTTTTATTTTGGAGTGACTTTAGATTTAGAGAAAAGTTGTAGAGACAGTACAAAGAGTTGCCATACAATCTTTACTGATCCCACCCCAACAGCATCGCCAGAAGTCAACTTCATACAGAACCCCAGCACTCCTGTCCAACCCAGAGACTGACACTAAGAAAATCCAGGCCTTACCAGACTTTCAATTGACTTACTAATGTCCCTTTCTGTTCCACGATCCCAATCCAGGATCCACATTGCATTTTAGCTCTTAGGAATGGGTGAGAAAGCTTTGTCCACGCTACGGAGCTAGGGACACTGACACTGAAGAATGCTAAATGACTGGACTCCCTGAGGGCAGCGGGGGCAAGACCCACCTCTCTTGGCACCCTTCCTCTGCCTCTCTCTCCCACAGGATTCTTGGTTTGCAGAAGTCTCTCTGGAATGGACTACCTGCCCACCCCATCCCGTCAGTGTAGACAGTGAGAAATGCCCCCAGTTAGAGGGCAGTGGCCTGGCAGAGACCCAGTCCACCTCATCTCCTCTTTTCCTGAACCCTGAGGGCCAGGACAGTGTCTTAGTGGCTCAAAAGGGGAGGCCATGGGGGCAGGGAGAGAAGGAGGAGGAAGAGAAAGACTGTTATCTGTCCATCCAAATTTATTTGTGACAGATGAACCATGGCCATTGTGCTTTGCAGTTCCTCCCACTGAGAGTTGGATAGTGTTGTGACTTGCTTTGACTAAAAGAACTTAGCAGAAGTGACACTGTCCCAGCTCCAGAGTTTGAGTTTTGTCACTTTTACTCTCACTCTCTTGGAACCCTGAGGCCATAATATGAATAAGCCTGAGCTAGCCTGCTAGAGAACAAAGCCACTGGAGCCAACAGCCTGTCACCTGCCACACAAGTGAGTAAGGCTATCCTAGCCCATCCAGCCCCAGCTAAAGTGACAGCTGACTGTGGCCTCAGGCAAGACCAGCAGAGCTGCCCAGATAAACCCAGGCCAACTTCCAACCCACAGAATTGTGAGCAAACCAGTAACTTTTTAGCTGCTAAGTTTGGGGATAGTTTGTACGTAGCAAGGACTAACTGATAAGCAGGTCCTCTCTCCTGGTAATGAGATCCCAATTTTATTTCAGGAGGCAGGGGGGCCAGTCCCAGGGAATGGAATGTGATAGGTATACTCAGTCATGACAATTCTGTTCCCTGTCCTCACTTTCTTTGCTGCTAGGGGTAGCAGGGCAGTTAACTCAGACCAAGGAGACCTAAGTGGAAATATGCAGACAGAGAGAGAAAGAGAGAGAAAGAGAGATAACAGCCCAGGGTTCTGAAAGTTTTCCTTTCTGATGGATGTTTGGTCCAGTTGGCTCAGCCCTTCCTCCTCCCCTACTCCTTTCTTCATTAAACAGACACTATTCCTTGGAGACACAGCAGCCATCTTGTGATCATGAAGTAAGAAGCAATCAGGGCAAGGCAGAAGGATCACAGAGAGGAAAGTCCCACCTTCGTCCAGTTATTGAAGTAATGCCACGCTATCCATTTGTCTCCAGAATTCAGGTGCTGTGGCAAAACAAGCCTTCTTTGTTTAAGCCACTAGAACTGAGGTTTCCCTTCCTATTATATAGTCCTGTAACAGGAGGTCATAAGGACAAAAACACAGGAGCCAGAAGCATGTGGCTCTCCAAATCCATCTATTTCTCATTTCCTCCTCTCGGTAATTCTTCAGGGACAAGGCCATGGTCCCATGTGTGAAGGTGGGAACTAGGGCTCCCATTGTTCAAAGTGAGCAGCAGGCCTGGCAGCCAGCACAGGGGTGCAGAGAGTCAGATCCTCCCATCTGCAAGGAGGCTGCTACTGCAAGTCCGGTGTGGAAGCGCCCAGATACACCCTCAGGTCTGAGAGGGTCGACTGGACCAGCTTGGCAGGGATGGTTTCTCGCTGCAGCTGTTGGAAGGCTGCATAGCGGTGGCAGCCTCCAAAGGAGTAGAAGTAGTTACCACCCTGGGCCCCTTTGATCCAGAGGACATCAATCGGAGGCACACTGTCGGGGTCCTCCTGGGAAGAAGGGGACACAGGGTCAATGAGCACATACTGCTCTGCACAGTTTGCAAGGAGCTCCTACAGGGTGTGTCCATGGTGTGAGTGAGACAGCTGTCAAAGACTGGCTGCAAGCTGGTTGACACCTCTTTAGCAGTTTGAAAATCAGCCATGTGAGTATTTACACTAGATGCATGGGTACATGCTACAAATGAGGGATCCTCCCCGCTGGAGACCAGACTGTGAAACACTTATCACACACCCTGTGCGTACCCTTCAGCCAGCCCTGTCCCAGACTCTGGGGACAAGGCACAGTCAGGAGACACACACAGCCGCTGTCTTCACCAGGCAACAGAATGAGGAAGTGGATGGAGTGGCAAATGCAACAAAGGCAGTAACACAGGTGACCCAGCAGGGACAGGGTTCCACAAGGCCTCTCTGAGATCACAATGAAGCAGACACACTTGGGAAGCTACAGATGTAGGCTACTTTAGAGCCCAACTGTCTGGGTTCAAATCTCTATTCTGCTACTTAGCAGCTATGTGACCTTGGACAGTTGACTTCTTTGTGCCCATCTGTCAAATGGGGGTAAAATAACAGACCCATTTCATAGAGCTGTTGGGTTAAATCAGTTAACATAGGCAAGGTGCTTCTAACAATGCTTGGCATATGGAAGTGGGGTGAAGCAAGTATGCTGGGGAGGCTCAATAAAGTATGCTGAGAACTACCTGAGGGAAGAGCATTTCAGAGGAAACAGCAAGTGCAAAGGCCCTGAGGCTAGAACAAGCTTGCTGTGTTGGAGGCAAAGGAAAGAGGCCAGTGGACTAGAGTGGACTCAAAGATCAAAGAGTAGAAGAGGACAGAGGCGTTGGGAGGAGCAGGATGCAGCAGGTTTGTTTCTAAGGCAATGGGTGCTTTTGTTTTGTTTTATTAAGACGAGGTCTCACTACGTAGCTCAGGCTGGCCTTGACTTCTTAATTCTCTTGCCTTAGCTTCCCAAGTGCTGGGACTACAGGTGCATGCCACCATGCCTGGCTCCTGGAGAATTTTAAACAGGGGAGGGTAACACAATAGGACGCCTGTTGTAGAAATGCACACAGGGGAACCGGCTTGGTGAGGCAGGCAAAGCATCTGAGATCAGGGTGGGCAGAGGCGAGGCCCTGAGGGTTTCAGCGTTAGCAGATGCTGACTTGCTGGTGTTGGTGGGTGGGGACATGTTTAGGAGGCATATTAGAGGAACCTGACCAAAGCATGGCTGTGAGGGCAAGAGAGTCTCAGGTGACTCCTGGTAGGAGCCAAGCAGTCGTATGGAGAGATGGCTGTCCTCTAAGGAGAGCCTGGGACAAGATGTGGGGTGGGGGACAGCTAACGTGCTGGGGAGGTCTTAGTATGTGAGGCCTGCCCCACAGGGGCTCTGACAGACTCATGGACCCATAGGTCCCACAAGGGATGAGTAAGCAGGAAATCCAGTGTCACGAGCCAGGGCTCTGGAACCTTGGCTCTTCTACAGAACAGCTGGGGATCCCTAAGCAGGTGGCCTCGCCTCTCTGAATACTTCCTCATCTGTAAAATGCGCACAAGAATCCAGCAGAGTGGCTGATGAAGAGTCAAGGAGCAGTCTCTGGGCCAACCGCCCCGGCAGGCCTCGTGCTGTGCGATGGGGAATCACATGGGTGGGCAGAAGTGGTCCCTAAAGGAGTCCATGTCCTGACTGGGGATGTAGCTCAGTGGTGGAGACTTTGGCTTTGGCTAGCACCCCAAAACAAATAAACAAACAAACAAATGATGCTCACGTCCTAATCCTTAGGACCTGTGAATGTGTCACCTCACATGGTAGAAGGCATCTTGCAGATAGAACGAAGTTAAGGACCTTGAGATTGGGGGATTGTCATGGGTTACCCAGATGGGTTGAACATGACCACCAGGGTCCTTAAAAGTGGGGGAGGGCCAGGCGTGGTGGCGCATACCTGTAATCCTAGCACTTGGGAGGCTGAGGCAGGAGGATTGAGAATTTGAGGCCAATCTAGGCAAGTAGCTTGTTCAAGGCCAGTCTGGGCTACATGAAGAGACTCTATCTTAAAAAGCAAAATAGAAGGGTTGGGGAATGATGAGGGTGAGAAGGACTCGAACTTCTTCCCTTCTGCTGCTGCTGCTTTGAAGATGAGGAAGAGGTCATGAGCCAAGGGATGTAGGGACCTAGGAGCTGAGAGAGGCAAGGAAACAGATTCTCCCCTAGGGCCCACAGAAAACAACCTTACTGACGCATTATTTTAGCCCAGTAAGACCTGCTTTGGACTTTTGAGCCACAGCTGTAAAGTAACGTGTGTTTGAAGCCATGTGGTTCATGGTAAGGTGATACAGTGGTGTAGAAATACCCCACAGATACCCCACAGTAAGTTGGCAAAGGCAGAGCTGGTCCTTGCCCTCAAAGAGCCTGAGGTTCCAGCTTGGGAGACAGGTGTGCAAACAGGCCCTCAAAACTCAGTGACATGTTTAGTCTCCAGTGACTACGGTGGGTAGGCACACAGCTGGCCTCAAGGATACAGAAAGCGCCCAACCGAGAGGGGTGGGGATGGAAAGATGCCGACCCCAAGACAGGACGACCCAGGAGAGGAGTTAGAAGCAATAAAGAAGACACAGAAGAGTTTCCTGACGGGGAAAAAGCCTGTACAAAGGCCCAGAGGTGGAGAGAGGGGGCAGGGCTTGATCCCCTTCCCACAAGGAGCAAGGCCCTAGGCCACTGCAGATGTGACAGTCAAAATGACAAAGTCCCTGCTTGAGTGGAGCTCATAGGAGGAAGACAGACAATAAAGCACACACAGAGAATGTGTAAGATAATTTCTGGTGAACATAAGCACTCTACAGAAAGGCACCTCAGGCTGGGAGAGCTAGAGGCCAGGGCTCCTCACAAGGTCGTCAAGGACTCAGAGGCTGCAAGGAATTTCTGGTGGACAGCGGGTAGATGGCTCCAGGCAGGGGACAGTGGTGCAAATCCTAGGTTCAAAAGACATCCACTGGCTGTACAGGTGTTCGGTGGGGATTGAAAAGGTCTTAGGTGCTCACTGCCCAAGGATGAGAGAAAGGACAGGAAGCCACATAGGCCTAGCCTGACACCTACCTTCCAATGTCACTGTCCCTCCCTTCTTGAAGGCCCTCGCAGCAGACATGACACACCCACTCCACTGCCACCCACTGTCCCAGCCAGAAGGGACCACATAGCTTATTTCCGGATAGCATGGTGGCCATGCAGCTTGGGCACTGGGACCAGGCTGCCTGGGTGTGGATTTCCACCGTGTCACCTTCTAAATGCATGGCTTTGAGCAAGTTGTCTAAATCTCTCTGTACCTCAGTTTCTCCTCTGTAAAGGAGAGACAGCATCTACTTCACAGGGTTGGCACAATAAACTGTCATAGAACAGCACTGTCTGTATGAGTCATCGGTGGTTAATTATCTAGTCTAAAACCCCCTCCTTGCTCAAGTGAGGAACCTGAGGCTCAGAAAGGCCAGGACACTTGCTCAAGGTCACACAGCTCACACTGAGCTCCGGCAGGGTCCGGAACCAGTCCGGCTTGCGCTCCCTCCTGCGCAGCCCCCTCTCCCTCCCTCCAGGGCGGGCTGGCCTCCCCCAGGCTCACCCGGATCGTGTCCACGAGGCTCTGCACCTTGGCCGGGTCCAGCACGGACGGCAGCGGCCGGATGATCACGCTCATCGGCACGTTGTGCACCGCGGCGATGCAGCCCGAGTGGATGCTGCCGCCCTGCACGCCGCCGCTCGGCCCGGGCCCCTCGGGCGTCCCCCGGCCCGCGCCCGCCCTGGCCAGCGCTCCGCCCGCGCGCAGCCCCATCGCGCCACCACCTCCCCTGCGGGCCGCGTAGTCTCCCGGCTTTAACCCCGGCCGGGCCGTACCATCCGCGCGGCCGACGGGGGCGGACGGGCAGCGCGCTTCTCCCCCGGGCCCGAGTGGTCCGGCCCATTCCCACTGAGAGCTCCGCACCGCTCACTGAGCGCGGTGGACCCGCAGGGCTCCGGCTCTCCGCTGGGGGGCGCCCCGCCGCTCCTGTCCGCGGCTGCGGAATGGACGCGCCCGGGCGGGGCCGGCTGACTCACGGTGAGTCTGCAGGTCGCCGGGCGGGAGGAGCGTGTGACGCCCAGCGCGGTGACTCAGGCCTGCAGGGGCGGGGACCCGGGTGGCCGGCTCTGCAGAGCGAGAATGAGTCTGCAAAACTCAAGGCCAAAGGAGCCCCAGGGACAGTGGCCAGGTGAAAGCAATACCACCACGGTAATAGTACAATCATTTTTTGTTTTTTGACTGTACTGGGGCTTGAACTCAGGGCCTTTGCTTGCTTAGGCAGGTGCTCTACCGCTTGAGCCACTTCACCAGCCCTAATAGTAGGACTCTGGAGTGGTTGAGGGCCTGCTGGCAAAGCTGGCATGGGCATCAACTTTATAAATCTCAGAACAACCCTGCTAGGGAGGGATGTTGATTAGATCCATTTTGCAGATGAGAAAATGGAGACACAGAGAAATTTATGTGATTTATTCAAGGTCATGGCGCTAGAAAATGGGTGAACCAGGGTGCAAACTCGGACAGCTTGGCTCAATTGACCACTCTCTACTGCCCTCCCCATGGGCTCCCTTGGTTTGGCAACAGTCACTATCACACGGACCTTCTGCAATTGTAACAATTGTGGCCCTGTCACTGTACCACACTGTTGCATGGTACTGAAACTATGGTATTGACCCAAGGCCCAAACTCCTGGGATACCACATGTCATATCTGGTCTCTCACCAGTAGAAAGGAGATTTATTGCACCATCCGTGCTGTGGGAAGAGGCAAAACGAGCACTCAGCCTATCTTCAGGACACAGACATGAGCTTTAAATAGAGCGAGAATTAGGGCAGGAAACAAAAGTTCGGCATAGTTAAATAGTTCCAGTCACAGGTATGTTCAGGTGGTTAAGATTGGTAGAGTGGGGCCTGGTTGACCATTACCTCAGTCCTTGTTCTTTGAGGGTTCCAGAGAAGTAATCTCTGTCACCACTTGAGGGGAGCAATCTGGTTCTCAAGACATGATTGCTCCTGCTGAATTGTCCTCATTTGGAGGGGTGGGCTGTCGTCAAGGCTCTGCTGTTACTAAGGGGAAGTTTTAGTCCCTTGTCATAAAGATGTTATCAATTATTTCTGTCCTTCCTTGATTCCAAGGTGACTGCAGGAGAGAATGGCTCAGAGCAAAGGACAATGGGTACAAAATGGAGGCAGGGATGCCAAAGCTTCTCTCCTGTTCTTAGTTAATTCATGGGCCCAAGTAAGGAGTGAGTGCTTTTCAGCAAAAGCAGTTTAAGCGCCTTTCACAGTATCATCCCAGTACTACCAGGAAGTAGGTGGGGTCACTGAGTAACTTGTCCAAAGTAGGTCAGATGAGTGCAAAGCCAGGCCACCTAACTACCCACTCCAACCAGGGAGGTGGAGATAACCTTGACCCCGCTGAAGACAGGCATGGCTGGTTTTCTCCCAGGGAGGGTCAACCAGGTTCAAAAAGAGCTTGTGGGGTGGAAGATATTGTGATGTCTTTTGAAGAATGTGTGTGGGTGGCACATACTTTTCTGGTCAGCTGGAGAAAACCAGGGATGTTAGAGGTGGCTGGGTTCCAGGGGTCGCAACCCTCCTTGACCTTTCCTCAGGAACTGATGATTTCTGAACCCCATCTGTAACATGACAGGACACACATGTCCCAAGTGTGAGTGTGAAGTGAGAGGACACAGGTGAATCTCGTAACTGCATAGCACCCCATTTTGCAGTTGAGAGTCATTTATGTTAGCTTCGAAGTCTCTAATCAAATCTTGGGATGCTGAGGCCATTAGGAATTTGACTGGCCCTTTCCCTTTCTGCAGTTCCCATTCCTGTCATTCCTGTGAGCATCTACAACACACTTTGTTTCCAGAAGTAGGGCTGACCCTGCCCCCAATCCCCAGGGCTATTGAGAATTAGAGAATTTCTTCACACGGGGAAACTCTCCCTTCCTCACCCTTCCTCAGGACAGGAAGTAAGAAGGGCAGGATCACAGTTTCCGGAGTGGAAAAGTGGAGATTGACCTGCCTCTCTCACCATCTCCAAATTCCTGTGTTGAAATCCTACCCCTCAATGTGCTGGTACTACACAAAGGCGATGGAGTGAGTGTGGAGTCCTCACGAATGGGATTAGTGCTCTTGTAAAAGAGACTCTAGAACTCTCCCTCCCTCCCTTGACCATGTGAGGATGCAGTGGAAGACAGCAGTCTATGAGCAGGGAAGTAAGCCCTTACCAAACACCAAAACTCCTTGGATCCAGCACTTCAGAACACTTAGAAATAAATTTCTGCCATTTATAAGCCATGCAAGTCTATGGTAGTTTGTTTTATAAGGACTAAGACAGAACTTGGTGCTGAGAAATGAGGTACTGTTAAAATCAATACTTAAAAATGTGGAACTGAGTAATGGGTATAAGCTGTGAATGGACCTCAAAAGGTAATTCTGCTTAGTTCTCATTAATTAAAGAGGAGAGCTGTAGGGGAGGTCTCAGTTTTCTTAGAGGATACCCAAGGAGTTTTGAATGGAAGGTTGGTAGAAATATGAACAGAGAAGGTTATTCTGATGAAGTCTCAAGCAGAAATGAGAATATGTTTTCGGACAATGGAAAAAAAAGAACTTGGCTGAATTGTGTTCGATGGTATTTTATGGGAGGTAGAAATCGTGAGCAAGAAACTTGGATATTTAGCTGAAGCTATTTCTAAGCAAAGTGCTGAAAGTGCAGCTTGGCTCCTCTGTTTATATAGTAAATGACATAAAGATCGAATTTTTTTTAGCACAAAGGAAGCAAACTAAAGATTTGAAGGCGATGTAGCTCAGTGGTAGAGCACTTGCCTAGCATATAAAAGGTCCTGGGTTCAATCCCCAACTCCACAAATAAAACAAAATGAGAACATACTTAAAGATTCGAAAAATCATATTGCAAAAATTGAAAAGGGGATGTTTGGAAGAGAACACTAAGGATGTATCCAAGGGTTGCTTTGATATGGAGACTATTATGGGCGTGAAGCATATGCCTATCCCCAACCCTCCCCAAGCAGGACTCCTGCCAGCTTGAACAGGAAGGGAAGAAGATGAGAAAGATGGAGGAAGGACTTGGACTTGGATTTTACAGGACGGCGCCATCAAACTTTTCAGCTGAGATGGAGCTTAAAGACAAGGACTGCCTGCTTGTTTTCAGAAGTGGAGACCATAACTTGCTGTCAATAGGCCAGACTGACTCTGTCGCAAGACATTGTGATGGGGCTGAGCAGACCCTGGTAGCACAGGCTCTCCTGGGTAGAGCAGGGGCACCAGTGTGTCCACAGGGTATGATTGCCACCCTGGTGAGTCTGTAAGGCTGCCCCCTCCCGCCCCGGCCTTTGCCCCAGAGGGCAAATCATGGCTTGGGAGAGGATTATTCTTGAGCCTTAAGATCTTCCAGAATTTGCCTTGTAGCTTGGACCTAACTGAGATCTACTGTCCCCTCCTTGTTTTCTGTCTGGAGGTGTCTGTTCTGTGCATAGTCCACAGCTGTATTTTGGAAAGCATGTAACTTGTTCAATTTCACAGGCTCATAGGTGAAGGAGATTTGCCTCAGGATGAATTGTACTGGAACCTCACCCATAGGTGATTTAGAGGACATTTTGGATTTTAGACTTCAGAGTTGGTGCTGGAATGAATTAAAACTTTTTGGGCTGTTGAGATGTAATGAATGTATTTTGCATGTAAGAAGGAGGGGAGGTGGGGGGATATTATAGGCAGAGGGATCATTTTGTGTCCTCTTCAAATTCCTTTGTTGAAATTCTAACCCCAAAGCAATCTGTTAAGAGGTGGGCCTTTGGAAGAGGGCTAGATAATGAGGGCAGAACCCTAATAAATGAGCCCCTGAGGACTGGAGCTGAGGACACACAGAGTCCCTGGAGAGCCCCCCCTCCCAGCACCCACCCCCTTATCCCTCGCACGGTGTGAGGACACAGCCAAGAAGATGACCATCTGTGTTCCAGGAAGCAGGTCCTCAGACACCCAATATATTGGCACTTTAATCTAGGACTTCCCAGCCTCCAGAACCTCAGTTTTTTGTTTTTTTTTTTTTAGTCATCTAGTCGATGGTAGTCAGCCCAAACAAAGAGGGTCCATCCATCAGGCCTGCATTTGGGGAAAGATACCTGTGGCTACTATGGTTTGAGGAAAGCAGGTAGAGGAGACAGAATGAATTCTAAGAGACCAATGAGAAGGCTGCTCTGGTTGTCCAGGTAAAACATGATGGTGGTGATGGACTAAGGTGGAGACTGAGAAGATGGAGAGGAAGAGCCAGGAGAACCTGGAATGCGTTGGATGGTAAGGCAGGAGACAAGATAGGAGAGGTGACTTCTGGGCTTCAGGTCTTCAAGGCTGGCTGGGTACTGGGCCATTCATGGAGCCAGGGAAATCCTGGAGAACTGTGTCCTGGCTCCAGACTTTGGCTGGTCTCTGGTGCTTTGGGGATATCTGAGTGTGCAGTCTACAGGTAGACAAGACCTTGCATTGGAGAGGAGAGGGGAAGTAGAAAGACAGGCTCAGGAGGCATCTGTAAGTGGGAAGAAACTGAAGCTGTGGGTGTAAGAGATCACAGGACAGGATAGGGGTGTCCTCCTTGGGTACTGGAAGTTGCTGGGTGGAACTGCCTGACCACAACTAAGAGGAGAACCAGACAGCGATGTCACAGAGGAACTGAAGGCCTTTGAGAGCACTGTGACAGACTCAAGGGGCTCTGGGCTGCAGGTAACAAGATCTGATTCAGTTGACTTTGACAATAAAGATTCATGTCACCAACCATGATGTTTCAGGGTGGATTTTTCATTGGCTTCTGGATGACATCAAGACACAGGCTTTTTTCCATGTCTCTGCTTTGCCATCCACAGTGTGGCTGGTGCATATGCTAAAGCTGGTTCCCTTCATGGTCACAAGATGACACGGTTCTCTGCTCATGTTCAAGGGCAACAGTGACTGGACTTCCTTTTTCTTAAGATAGAGAAAGCTGTGAAGTTTTCCATAAGCTTCCACAACCCTCTCAAGTCTCATTGGTCAGAATTGGCTCATGTGCCTGTCTCTGAACCCAGGGAAATAGTATTACTTAGCCCGTCAAGACCGTCCTTCCAGCTGATGTTCAATCCCCCAATGCCATGGATGCTAATCAAGGAGGAGGGAGTGGAATGGATGTTGAACTGCTATACCTGGGCTGGAGATGGCCCATGGGCACCAGCATCCACTCCCACCTCCCTCTCAGGCACCTTCAGTAGTGCATGGCTGGAGTGTTAAAATGCCTTTCCTCAGACTTCCTTGGGCAAGGGTGCTGGCAGTGGATAAAGTTCTGCCGCTCAGATGTGCTTCTGAAGAGATCTGGATGTCAGAGGCGAGCAGGAGCCATCTTCCTACTGCTGTTGCCTCTTACTACTGTCAAGATGGTCTTGGTGTAGCAGTGTCGCAGCATGAGCCAGCGGCATAGCAGATGTGAGACAATTTCAGGGTCTCTGGGTGTTCTTGAACTCAGTAGTTCCCCACCCCCAGTAGCTGATGTGGAAGAGGCAGTAGCTCTCCTGGTGACAGAACTCTGTGGGGAGGTTCTGGGGGCCCAGCGAAGGACTCACTCCAGCCCTTCCATGAGTTTTGTCAGCAACCAATTCCCTGTATTAATGACTTGTTGCTGCAAAGGGATTTAACCCATGTGTAAGCCTTTGATCCACAGTGGTTTCTGTCCTCTGCACCTGAAATGGACATTACGGATGCAACTGCCACCCAGGACAGTGTGTAGCCACAGAGTGCTGCTTGCAGAGGTTAAGGAATGCAGCAGGTGCCTGCATCCCTCCAGCCCCATTGGCGACTGTGTGCTGGGGCAGGGGAAAGGCTCCCACAACTGCTGCCACTGCTGGAAACACTAGCACACCGCTCAGGATGCAGCCACCCTTGCAGAGATGTGTGTAAGGAGCACACTGCTTCCAAAAGGAAGAAGCCCACAAGAAAGCTCCAGGGGAGGTAGAGTTCCAGCCTGCACACACCCCAGGCCCCGCCTGACATCCACTTGTGGTGAGTCTGTGATGGGGTTAGTGACCGGAGGCTGGTGGTCTCAAGTTTTCAGTGAGGCCAGGCAGCTGGCAAGGAGGATGGACTGCTTGTCCATCTTCTGAATACTTTGGGTAATAGATAGCTCACGAGCTCTAGAGGCAGCTTACTGGTTTTGAACAACTAACTGTCAAGCCAAAGCCAGCCTTTTTGCACGCTGCTGGCATTGGCAGTGTACAGGACCTTAGAAGACTGGCCAGAAACTAGGGCTGAGCAGTAGGGGGTGAGGTGGAGAATCTAGGGTTTATAAACTGGTTGTCAGAGGGCAAATCTGACCACTATTGTATTTCTTTGGCAGGTTAAGGTTAATTTGCATTGGAATTGCTTAAGGAGAGACACTTGCCAATTAGTCACAGGCTCCATCATTCCCTAATATTGTACAGCAACTGGCTTCATTCACTTGTGTTACTAACCCGGCCCTTATTTGAGAAACATTTAGGATTGAGGATGTCTGGGACCTTGCAGATGTCAAAGGATCCCTGGTGACACCTACAGGCAGGTCAGGCTACAGAGAGAGGAATGGAGTGGGAGAATCTATCTGTCTCGCAAACTCTCCCCCCACCACCCTCGCCAATCACAAGGTCTAGAGGCGCTGGTAAGTGGCCAAGTCCCTTTAATATCCCTGAATTGCGTTACAAGTAATACTGCTGAAGGTCGGGAAGGGATGGGGGTCTGGGGGGCAAGTCGGGGGCGAAGGAGGGAGGGGGAGCGCCAAGCGCTCATACAAAATATGGCCAAAAGGCTTAGCATGCATGGAAAATTATTGCTGTCAGAAATTCCTATTTACAGGGTCAACACCCTCCATAATTGCTTCTGTGACCCCTCTCTCTCCCACCATCCCTTTAGCCTCCCTTTCTGGTGGTCTCACCAACCCCTCTGTAGGCCTAGAGAAGGCCCCCTGCTCTGGGGCCCCTCCAGTCTCCACCCTCTTTTGTGGCCGGGGAGGGGAAAGGGGAGTCCAAGACTCCCCGCCCGCAAGCTGGGCGCAGAGCGATGGGGGCACAGGCGTGTGCTTAAAGCAGAAGGGGGGCCGGGGCCCGTGCGCGTGGAGGTGTGTGCTTCGGTCCTCGCCCGGGCATGCAAAAGCGCGGCGGAGGAGGTAGTGGCGGCCCACGGGCGGGGGTCTGGCAGCCCCGGCCTCTCTGCCCAGGAGAGTTGCATAGACATGGCCGGGAGAGAGCGCTCCTCCCGGGGAGCGGGCCAGAGGCCCCAGCGGGGTCCGGGGCTCAGTCGGTCCCTGGAACCTGGGGTCTCTCGAGAAGAGGAATAAATAAGAAAGAATAGAGGAGGCTCCTCTTTCTGGACTCCCTGGAGCAGGGGTGGAGGGCTCAGGAGGGCGGGGACCTGCCCCGTGACAGGATCTCCCGATGCTTCCTCCCCTCCCCACCAGCCTCCCTCACATTCTCGAGTCCCTGTCCTCATCGAGGTCAGGCTCTGATGAGGGTGGGGGCTTCTCCCTGGACCGTGAGAGGGTGTGGGGTGCAACCCACTATGGCCTTTGCTGTCCTCTCCTGGACATGCTCCCTGACCTCCCAGTCCAGCTGGGGAAGCCAGACTGTCACTGGGTGAAACCAAGAGATTAAATAGAATAATAAATAGATAAATAAATAAATACACAAATAAATAACTGGAGGGGGCCAGCCAGACAAGGAGTCAGGCATTGGTGAGGTGTCCAGGCCTCCCCCAGCAAATAAGGAAGGGAACCTGTAGTGATGAGGGTGGGGGAAAGTGCTCAGAGCGTCTGGGGAGAGGGCACCTCCAGGCTGGAAGCCCAGGGACGGGCTGTCCTGGACTGAGAGGAGTCACTTTAGGGGGCAGGGCCCTGAAAAACTGCCCCTCAGGTCCCTCTAGGTTAGGAAAACTCAGAGGGGTGAGAGGTGCTACAGTGAGGAGGGGCTTTGGAGAGAGTAGGGAGTGGTAGTGGGTGACAAGGGTGAGGAATGCAGGGATGCAGGGATGGAGGGAGTGAACTGAAAGGTTGGACCTAAGGCCCGAGCCTGGAGGGCATCAGGCACAGAGTGGGGACACTAAGAAGGGTGAAAATTCAATCCCTAGGCAGACACACTCAGCTGAACTCAGCAGAGAGGCCTGAGGGATGGGTGGGGTTGGTTGTGGTCTGAAGAGCCTGCATCCTGGTATGGATAGGGAAACTGAGGCGTGGGAGTTAAGGGTAGGTTTGGGCCATAGATTGGGGGCTCCAACAGATGAAAGGGCAGAGGCTCAGCGGAGAACTAAGAAGGAAGGTGTGGAAGTTAGGAGAGGGGCACAGGGTCTGGGCAGGAGAACTTTCCGGCTCTGGGGTGCGGGAGAGGTGCGGACCTTGTGCCTGAGTTGGGAGCCTTAAAGGCGCGGACAGGGGGGGTCAAGGTCCGAGTGGTGGCCGGAAAAGATGCTGTGGATGGGGTGCGCAAAGACGGGGACAAACAGTGCGGGAAGTGAGTTGTAGGCTTGGGGGCTGGAGAAGAACATTCCGGGCCAGGACGGGGGTCCCCAAGGGCATGGGAAGGAGTCACAGGTGGGGGCCCGGGGCGCGCAGAGAGCGAGGTTCGGGCGGCTCAGCTGGCCGGGCCGGCGGGGGGCGGCGGGGGCGGCTCGGCCCCCTTTACGCAGGCGGCCTCGCAGTGCTTGTGGAGGTAGGACTTGAGCGCGAAGCTCTTGTCGCACTGACGGCAGCGGTAGTGTTTGAAGGCCGAGTGCGTCTGCATGTGCGCGCGCAGATTGGAGCGGTCGGCGAAGGCCTTGCCGCAGTGCGCGCAGCCGAACGGCTTCTCGCCTGTGTGCGAGCGCATGTGGCCCTGCAGCAGCCAGGGCCGCGAGAACGCCTTGCCGCACACGCCGCACTTGTGGCGCAGGTTGTGCGTGAGCACGTGCATGGCGAGCGCGGGCATGGACACATACGCCTTGCCGCACGTCGGACACTTGCGCGCCAGCTGGCTGTCCAGGCTGCGGTGCGTCTGCTTGTGCCGACTCAGGTTCGACGACGTGGCGTACGTCTTGCCGCACTCGGCGCACGCGTGCCGGTGCCCGCCGCCCGCCGGCGCCCCCGCGCGCCCCGCGCGCTCCCCGGCACTCCCGGCGTCCCCCGCGCCCGCCGCATCCCCGCGCCCCCGCCTCGGCGCCGCCGCGAGCGCCCGTCCGAGATGAAGAAGGCGTCCATGGAGTAGCTGTCGGTTACGGCCGCCTCCCCGCGGAAGTAGCGCGCCGACAGGCTCGACTGTGGGCTCTCCGGGTCGCTGTACTCCTCGGGCGCCGCCGGTTGGTACGCGGGCTCGGCGGGCGCCAGCTCCAGGCCCGGCTTCTGGTCCGCATCGTAGCTGCTCGGGGGCAGGCAGTGCGGGACGTAACCTGGAGGGGCGAGAAGTGGACGGTGGTGAGGAGGAGGCGTCCAGGGAGGCTTCCCGTGACTGCTCATTGCCCGCGCCCTCCAGCCCAGCTTCCCTGTTGGCAGCCTTTGGAAAACGATGGCTGCCCGTGCTGGTGGCTGCAGGCCTGCACTTAAACTCTTTCTTGGGGTCCAAATCCTCCCTCTATGGGTCACTGTGTGAATAACTGCCACCTGACTCCATGGAACACCTGGTCAGCACAGATGTTCTGGCTTTGCAATTACTATCTTAGATGCTCACAATCACTCAGTGAAGGTATAATATACCCCTTTGTAAGTGGAGAAACTGAGGCATTGACACTCAGTCCATTCGAGCTTACAGCAGTGAGTGGTGGAGCTAAGATTTAAACCTGAGAAGTCTGACACTGAAACTCATTCTCTCTTTTTCCCAAGAACATTCTGCCTTTCCAATCCTATTACGTCCGTGGCTCTCCATTTTCTTATCTACAAAATGGAGCTTATACCTGGTACTCGTGGCTCACTCCTCTCAGCTACTCGGAAGGTTAAGGAATCACTTGAGCCCATTAGATCAAGGCCAGCCTGAGCAACACAGACCCTTGTCCCTCCACCAAAAAACAAAAACAAAAAACAGACCCTGTCTCAAAACAAAACCCATAATATGAAAATAAATAAGTCAATAAACATTTAAAAACCTATTTTCAAAGTGAAACTGATATTGGGCCCCTCTCAGGGTAGTTGTAAAAACCTAGTGGAGTTCTGCTGATAAGCATGTAGTGTGTTAAAGCTCTTGGTGAATGACAGGCTGTGCCTTGGAGCTTTACACATAACTCATTTACTTGTCAGAGGAAGTAGGTACTGTTATAGTTGGCATTTTACCTGTAAGGAAATTGAGAGGAGGGGAGCACTCAATAATTGCTATATAAATGTTAACTATTGTAATTACGCTTTTTACTTGCTTAAAAAAGCAACTTTGCTGAAGATTATTTGTCTGCTTTCCTCACTACTCTTTGAACTCCCCAGGGCTGGGTCTGTGTTCCCAGCCTGCCTGGCTTTCAGCAGGTGTGTGAATAGGTATCACAGTCCAGCTAGATGGACCTCTGGGGTTGCTGGAGGACTGACAGGGGTCAAGTGTGTGACAGGTAATAGCTGCTTCAGAAAGGGAACTTGTATTCCTCCCAAGGTTGCTTTGCTTTTCTTCTAGTGAGAGTCCACCTCCCCTCCTGCTTGATGCAGTTGGACCAGAAATCCCTTCTGTCATTCATTTGAGTGATTGGTGCCTGAGCAGGCTGGGGCTGTCCCTGGGGATTTCACAGGGGCTTCTGGAGGGCAGAGGCCACCTCATTTGTCTCTGCCTCCCTTGGCCTCTCCTGGTCCTAGCACCTTCCCTAGGGACCTGAGGGCTTCGCTCCCTAGAGAGTTCCTGGCAGACATTGAGCAAACACATCATCCCGGCACTTAATTACCAACTGTTTCCATTGTCCTTTGATTCCAGAGAACAATGGCGGTTAGGCCCTGTGCTGAGGTTTCACAGCTGAGGAGGGGCAAGTCCCATTTGACCCTCTCCATCTGACCCATGAGACCTGTAAACCCCCACCCCCATCCTCTTCCATGAAGTGAGCAGGTGTAAGAGGGCTTTGTAGGCTGGAGACAGGCTCCAGTGATGTTTAGATCTGGGCTGGCCACTCTGGTCAATATGCATTCCCTCAAAGGGCCTAGCTGACCCAGTCTCCGGACCTTTGCCTGTTGTCTGATATTTGGGATGGTCATATAGCAAAATCTGTACAGACTGTCCTCCAACCCTGAAGGCCAGGGTGTGCCCTTGCTTTTGCCTCTGTTCTGTCTGTAGGTGGCCAGGGCCCTCTGCACATAGGTGATTGGCAATTCCAGGTGAATGGCCCAATAGCAAGGAACTCTGTGGTCAGAGGCCAAGAGGTCAGAGGTGGTGGTTCTTTTTAAATCTGAGTGGGAGGGGTCCCCAACCTCTTGGTACCCTGTCTCCATCCCATATGCCTTTAGTCTGCAGGTCCCCTGCTCTCCAGGCAAGGAACAGGCCTGATGCACAAATTCCAGATGTCCAGGGAGCATTGCTTTGGACTGAGTGAGATACTTGGGCACTTCCAGACTCCCTCCTTCATAGTTACTTCATAATTCCTCCATAATTACTGCTGATGTAAGACTAGCTACGTTGATGGAACACTTCGCCAGCCTCTGGACAAAGTGCTTCACTCCATCTTCTCACTAAGTTATCACAAAAGTCTTGTTGCAGATTAGGAGACTGGGGTACAGAGTGGTGATGGTGCTCACTCATGGGATTGAGCAAGGATTGGAACCCACTATATTGCTCCCCTACACCCAGAGGGGTCCCTGAGGACACGGTTGTGGCTGGGCCCCCACTTCTAGTCACCAAGGCCCCAGCCGGTGCCCAAGTGCCCTTCAGTAAGTACTTGTGGGATGTGTGATAAGGATTTCCCAGGCAGCTTCACTCCAGGCAGTCCTTTCTACTTGCTCTGGGGACAGGGGTGCACCTTATGTGGCATGAGCATGGAAGGGGGAGGACAATTTGATGTCCTGACACAGTTCTAGCTGGGTGACCTTGGGCAAGCCATCCATATCTCTGTACCTTGGGTCCTTTTTCTGGAAATGAGCATATGGGAATGCCTTTGGAGGGGTAACTAATCATGGGACCAGTGTTTTGCATGTTCTGGTTACTAAAGAAGAATGACATGATTGGTTGAAAGTATAACTTTGGTGCCAGGCTTCCTGGATTGAGTTCTAACTTTACCATTCCCAGATCTGTGGCCTTGGTCGTTTCTTTTTCTTTTTTGCGGTGCTGGGGATGGAACCCAGGACCTCAAGCATACTAAGCAAGTGCTGTACCACTGAGATACACCCCAGGGTTGTAGCTGTATATCCCTGGACAAAATATTTGACTTCTCTGTGAGTCTTCAGTTTCAGTAAGGGTCCACCCATGGACAAACAAATAATGAATAATAATGGAGATGCGTCAACCCATGAGGTGCCACCTGAAGAGGTGTGCATATGTGAACACATTCTGTCCTTGTGATGGTACCATTTTACCAACTAGGACATCAAGGCCCAAGGAAGTTAAGTAACATGCCTGCAGTTCTGCAGAGGATAAGTCTGAGCCAGGATTCCAGCCCCCTGTCTGGCACTTTGTAAATCAACAATATACATTAGCTGTTCTGAGTAACAAAAAGTGTTCCCAGATGGACTTCTATGCTACAGTTTTCTTGGTGTCTGCCTCTGTGTATCTTGCTGTTCCTCTCTGGCCTCTGTTTCTTTCTCAGAATGTGCCATTTTCCCCTCATGTTCTGATGAGAAAACTTTTTGAGCATAGTAGGAGCTCAAGGAACCAGACAGCCCTCATTCAAATGTGGGCCCTGTCCATGGTGCCCTCTGCTGGCGGCTAGCAGCACCACAGCACTGCAGCATCTTAATCCTGATGTGGAGTCTCTTTCTATAGAAACGGGTGATTCAAACAACAGCTGCTCATTTGCATAGGGAGGAACGTAGGAGTGCCTTCAGGATAGGCATTGTAGGCCCCGACCGGGTGGCCAGTGGCTGTGAAGTTTGTTATCGATTGGGAGTGTTGGATGAAAGTTTGATGGTCATGTTAGGATTGGGTGGGTCTAACTTCCTTTGTGACCTTGGCCAGGTTGTTTAACCAATCAGGGCTCAGTTTGTACAAGAAGTTGACTGGGATGCTCTAAAGACTTTCTGCATCATGGATGAATCCATCACTGCATGATGCTCTTTTGTCCCTCTACTTCTGCTCCTCCAACTCTGCCCTGTTCTCCTCAGATTCACAGATGTCCCCAATGTGGGCAAGTAAGTCAGCCTCTGCCCACCACATCTGTATGAGGGAATGTCATAATAGGAGTGATGAATTAATGCATATAAAGTGCCTAGTACAATACCAGGCACACAATAGACACTCAGCCTTTACTGTTATTGGTGTCATTATTATTCCTACATTTTCTGGTGATATCTTCGAATCTGCCAGAGAGTAGGAGATAAGATACCCATAAGTGACTCAGGCTGTTGTGTGATTTGGGGGCCTCAACCCTGGAAATCCTTTAAGGTACTGTAAATCATGCTGTCATCCTATACGTGAAACCCAGACAGGTTTGGGGTGCCTTCCTCTGCCACTGGGTTTACTATAGGAGGTGCCTGTCCCTCAGCTGACAGGTGGAGACAGGTCTTTTTATTTGAGTTCCAATAGAGGCAGGAAGGAGCTGGACCCACAGAGAAGAGACCTGGCTGGCACCCTGGCCCTTGTACATAGACCTGAGCTGTATGACCTTGGGCAAGTCATGCTGCCTCTCTGGCTGAAATCCCCTTTTGGAGGGATAGAACCAGAGTCACCTCTGTCATGTAGGGCTCTGGAGAGGGGACAGAAATATTAGAGGCATGCACATGCCACCTGAAAATGGTTTTGGCTTTCTCTGCCTCAGAGTCTTGATGTTTTAGACTGGAGGTCCAGAATTCATTTTAAAAAAATAATTCTGGTGCCAGTGGAGTTGTGAAAGTGAGATTTACAAGAATTCACAAGCTGGGTCTTCTGCAGACACTTCCACATGCTACTGCCTGACTGTGGAGCTGTGGGGTCACAGACTGGGGGCTGTGACCACTCGCCTGGCAGCAGAACCAGCCTCCTGGGGAGCAGGCGCTGCACTGCGCCACAGGCCCAGTGAGGGTGGAGGACTAGCCCAAGGTTAATGAAGTGGGCATCAGGTTTGAAACCTACAAAGCTAGTGTTCTCTCTGGAACACCCCAGAGGGTGTGGGGCTGCTGGGGAGGGAAGACTGCCACCTGGGAGTTAGTGTCTTACACCGTGACTACTCAGGTGTCTGTGGGGTAGAGGGCAAGTAGGGAGAAGTTGTTCTAGAAAGTGCACCAGCACCCTATAAGTTTTTGTAAAACCCTGGTAAAGATTAACAGTTATTGAGCACTTACCGTATGCAAGCCTCCTGCTAACTACTTTATACACATGAATTGAAGTCTTAAGGCTACATCCTCCCATGCCCTTCCTCTGCAGACCCTGACGC